CTTGGTAGAGATGGGCATTAAGTCGATCTCAGTGAACCGCTGATACATTTTGGAGTGACCGCCTTTACTGAGACTTAAGAAACGAATACTAAAAGAAACATATTTATGGAACACCAACGCCAGCTAAGCTGGAGAATCGGCTTTTCACAATCCATGTGACTGTGCTTGCTTAAGTAAAGGATTTGTGTAGAAATAATTTGTGTAGACGTAAATATGTAGACGACGCATGTTCCTTCATTGGAAGCACACAATGATGCGCAACATGTTCACTGAAGCTGTAGAAGAAAAAAGTGATCAAGCTTAGAAATGAGTTTATCGCCTCACACCGACTTAAGGGAAGAATAAACGGTGATGGTCAGTCCTTCACGCGATAGTACGATATTGGCTATTGAGACATCATCCCACACTCCGCGCTTCCACGGGGTTGGGTTCTCGTGTTGATATCATGTCCCGCTATGACGCGGGATTCAGTTACAAACAAATGAAGTACATACGTCGGTTTCAGATTCATGGCTTCACGTATGATCTCTCCTCGCTGCAATGAATACGCTCTGTGGTTTAGCAGTCACTCATAGTTGTTCAATCCTTCAACTTGGCAATTTTGTGTTACTTGTGTTTCTGTGGTAAAAGTAGTAATCTGTCATATTTTATAAGAGGGTTACAATCTCGGAAACAAGTGTTAAGAAGAAAAAACGTTCGATTTCAAAAAAGGATGGTCACACCTAGTGCCACTGGGTGGACCGCAACACCTTAAAAACATTAAAAATAGCCCGTACCCTGGAAAGTACATCCACCCCTGATGTAGAGTAATGAGGGATATTTCCCGAGATATATATTGCTAGACAAAATGTGGAAGAGTTTCGGCGAATTAGCTCAGGTCAGGTTCTTGAGCAGGATTTCTCAAAGTGTGGATCTTGATCCCATTGGGGTTCGTACTTAATTTGTCGTTTTCTGAAATACTATGAGCTCCAAGCTAAGCCGATTCAAACCAAACATAAGGTATTCTGGTTCATATATCGTTTCTTGACGAGAATCTAATCATAAACAGAAATTATACGAAGTCCATTGTCAATCGGCCATTTAGACCAAAGCAGACATTTAAGAGTTTTAGATCAGTAATTCTTAACCTTCTTTGTTTGTTTGATACGGGGTACACACACTTTCAGCAATTTTAAAATTGTGCGACACACAAACAATAAGAATTTTACTTATCTGTAATACACTATGTAAAATAGTTTAGGATAAGAATTTTCCCCGTTAAAAATAAAATAATACAAACGAAAAAGATAATAAAATATGATTTGAGTAATTAATAAAATATGTATTGAGTCGAGATGAATCAATGCTCGCGAACTACTGCTGGACAGTTATAAGGGATACTCGGGCTTCGATATACAAGAGGCAATTCAAAAGGAAATGTTCAGAGGAAATAAACTAAAAAATACTACTGATTTCTGATATGAACAAAACTTATTGTACTGTATGTATTAGTTAGTAATGTTTTGTTCGTCAAATTTACCAATAAATTGATGGATGGGCTGTGGCATATCTTAAAAACAAGAGCTAATAAATAAATTTCATTCAAATATTTGTTTTTTCAACCCAAAATTAGTAAGAATAGGCTATTTAAAACTAGGAAACAGACAAAAAGTTGTTTTTAGTTGCCTGGTGTAATCACTGTATTAGAGAATTGCCCTTCATTTAAGATAAACAATGTAATGCATGCTGGTTGGTTACCTTGAAATTCTACACAGGATAGAAACTACCTAATGATTTTAGGGCAAAAGTATCGAGTTAAAGAAAGAGAAGGAATCTGATATATTCAATCCATCGTTCTTTATTCAGTGTTAAAAGTTTTCGAAAAAGATGAGCAATCCAATACAGACTATAATTTCCGTAAGATGATTTTCAAGCCGTGTTTGTGTCTCAAGTTTCAGTTAGCTTGAAAGCGATATAATTTAGCAGAAAAGCTAATCTGATAAATTTCTATATTACATCTTTTGGATAATTTTTTTATTCATACGTTTCTTTTGTTTGTTCTTTCTTTTTGTTATTGCACTTTATATATGTTTCAGTTCTAATTCTTCAACTTATTTTAGTAGGTCTTTGTGGGCAATATTTGTAACTGTTTCTTATTACTTTCCCTACACATTTCTTTTCATATGTTAGAAAATGTTTTAGTCGCGCATAGTTACAAAGAACGAAAAGACAGCGATTTCTTATTGTAGGTTCTGAAATGTGAAAACAATCCTGATAATACATCAGATAATTTATTATTTTTTTTCCATCTAAAAGGAATTTTTTATGACAAACCATTGCGACAGACCTTTTGATTATCTCAGTGCTTTATTTTCTTTCTTATTTATTTCAAACTTTTTGTCCCACTATTACTATTTATACATAAATAGATTATACTATATAAACATATTGCAACGTCTGCTCAGTAGCAGAATTTATACTTGACAAGATTGACGTATGGAGGGTTAATTTGTCCAGTAATACATTGCGTTTCCAAAACAAAGCAACGGTTGTACCTCATGCCTGGGGCATAACACATGAAACAAGAATGTCTTTGAAATCGCCACACTCTTTCTCTTTTCCCGATCTACAAACGATTGCTTGTCAAAACCCTCAATAGGAAGGAAGCTACGAGAAAAATAGTCCTTTTGCTTAAGTATCCCTCGCACATATGGACATTGCCAACTTGAATAGAGAGTATCGTTGACAAGACAAGTTATAGCCTCCAGATATTGGACACGAGTCCGTTTCTTAGCGGAGATTAAATGTGCCGATGGATTGTTCCCACGTACCAGTGGAGTGGGACTTCTCGACTTCTCAAGCGCCATCAATTGTCGGAATTTTTCACTCTTGAAGTTTTGGGTTAGCGAGGGCAACCACCCTCAAGAAACAAGGGATATGGGCTCTCGATTTACGTAATACCAAAGAACTGTGCACTGAAGTTTTAGATTTGGAAGACTCTCGGTTGAGTTTGCAGAGGCAGCCACATTCATGGGGTTACTGGTGAATCTTGTTTACTGAGGAGCTTTAGCGAATAGTAAAATATGGATTGTCGGAGTCAGAGGCGAAACGGTTGGCTTGCCTGAAATGAACTTAGAAAAATAACTTTTACTCAGCGAAAGGCTGTATTCTTTAATATTTTAATGTTGAATTTACCGTTATTTATTATTTACTTTCAAATTAAAATGTCTATTGGCAATTAGCTGTGTGACCGTTAACGCTATCCTGTCACGATATTACAAGATTATACAAGCATATAAAATTATAAAGCATACTACATATCTCCAGATATAAGCTGATCCGAATATAAGCAGAGGGCGTTTTTCCTTCAAAAAATTTACCTAAACTTTGAAACCTGTATATAAAGCAAATTGTAAAAATAAATAAATAAATAAAATGTTTGTATAATTTTCAGTTATGTCGCCATGAGGGCGAAAATGTTGCTAAGCGGGTAAAATGCAGAAATATTTTACAACTAAATTTCTGCTAAGTAAAACATTAAAGGCAATAGTTTTTTTTATTTCTGGTATCCCTATCTGTGAAACCCTCGTATTTTTTTCATACATTTGATTTCTTGTACAATATTTATCCAATTGCGGGCTATTTTTTTTAACGAGAACAGGAAGAGAAATTCATATACAGAACGTGATCGTCGATCTATGTTTCATGCCTCTGAGGCAAAACTCGCTGCATAATGATCATATACATTCAGATATCTCAATGAGCACTTGTGAATTTTACAAAATATTTGAAAACGTGGAGGAGCCGTGGTAGCCTAATGTATTTGGTTAGGAATCGTGACCGCTGTGTCATGAGTTCGAGCCCTATCGCCACTGAAGACCCAACGTGTTAACGGGACTGATGAACATTAAATCTGTCCAGGGTCAAAGTCTTCTCAGTGTGATGTGGAAGTTAAGAAGGGGGTGCCGGCTCACAGGTGTCATCCTTGTCACTTGACCGAGGTTCAAGATTATGAAGTCCGTCACCAACATCCCTCGCGTTGCTTTATAGAGCTACGAAAAATCACTCACTCGGAAATTTGGATTCTTGAAGAAAAGACCATTCAAAAAGTTAAAAGATTAAGATCGCTTTCGTACTATTAACAAAAAACGTGGAAAACGAAACAGTTTTCCCAAAATTACTTTTTTTTAAAAAGTTAGCGGATTCATCAGCATTTTCTCGGAAATGTGCGGTATATTTTATGTACTTGGTTTGATTGGTATAAATTGACGTCGCGCTATATGCTGCATGAATGTTTTAAACAAGATCTAGCAAGTGTTCTCCAAGTGATGAGGATTAAGTCCGTGCTAACGTCCATCACACCGTTTTAAAGCTTTAAGAATTCTTTTTTAAATTCCTAATATTAGCTCACTCTCTCTCTCCATATATATATATATATTTATATATATTGTTCAAATTTTCAATTGTTAATAGAATACTTTATATTCATCTATTCAAATTCAAATACATTTTGTCAATAATTATGTCTTAAGCCTAAACTTCGAATAATGGAATAATCAGGCTTACCTCAATTCACATCGGGCCGAGAGGATTTTGAGAGTCCTTTGCTTCATATAGCTCATAGAAAAATTCCTCATATTTTTATTATATTATTAATTCACATAAAAGGTTCAAAGAATAAAAACCAGACGTAAATAATGAGCTCAAGAAATCCGTAGAATAAAAGTAGCAGCTTTATTGACAACTGACTAATAACAAAAAAAGTTAGCTCGCGATACAAAGTGCGTTGCCACTCAACTGCAAAGGAGAAATAGAAATAATTAATTAAAATAATTCAAGTTGCGAAAACTCGAGGCGTGGATTCGCGACACATTTTTTTAAACTGGTAATGGATGACACTTGATGTTAATACAGTTTTCCAAATATTAATTCATTAATTAAATTAAAATAGGAATAAATAGTAACAAACAAAAATAATAGTCCAACAGCATATATAGAAAGGAAAGCCATTCGCGCGTTGTATCCATGTAGCACAATGGCCAAATTGTGTTGGACTTCTAATCCAAAGGCCTTGGGTTCGAATACCACCTTGGATGGTCTATTTTCTGAAAATGTGACTTCTATTTTACTGCACTATTTTATTAGAATAATTAAATTTAATAAATGTGTGTGAATAAATAGTTGCAAACAAAAAATAGTCCAACACCTTATATAGGAAGCAAAATGGAAAATTGCAAGGAAAATCGCTTTCTATTTTATCACAATATTGTGATCTGCCATTTATATATACATATTTATATTATAATTGCAACTATTTAATAAAAACTATTAATAACTATTAATAAGATTAAACAATTAATAAAGTAACTATTTAATAAAAAGTAACTAAGAAAATTTTTTTCTTTGTTGACCTAAGTAGGAATTGACTAAAAAAGAATTTTTTTTAAACTTGTGTATTTTATATACTGTCTCTTCTACTTCCTGAAATCTTATTTCTAATTGAAAGAATAAATAACCTAAAGAATATGATATTTCTTAATTTGAAAAATCATGTCATAAATTGCGTACATTTTACTATTGCGAGCTAATTATGATTAAAAAGAAAACATTGCTTGAATTAAGTGGATGAATCTAGCTCATTTTCATCTCAATGATACATTGATATGGCGATTACTTTGATATATAACATGTCTTTCTCTGTTTCTTATCATTTCTTGACACCGTTTTGGCTTTGATCCTATCAAATTTTTTTCTTTTTTAATTCATTTTATTGTTATGTTTTCATCATCGGATTGTTTGTTCGAGTGAATTGTGAGCTACATCCCATCTCTATTTGTTGATATTATCTTCGAAAATCTCTTACATAACATGGATTTAGAATAAAGTAAAGATGTTTTCTTTTTTTAAAAAAAATTCACACTATAAAAAGAATGTTATCGTATATTCAAAGAAACATATCTAGAAGTTTCCTGAATCTTCCCACAATTTGTCCTTATCTACATACAAAAACACTTTTGTTTGAAGAACATGATTTTTTAAAACAAATTATGATGATATTGACATTCAGTCGTTCCTTCGACTGAACGTCAAAAATATTCGAAAGTGACATAAATTTATCGAATAAGCTTTGTTTAACCTGAAGCTATATAGTGGCTTTTTATTTTAAAAAAGGAATTTAGCTTGTTAAATGCATTTTTTTTTTGTTTTTTGTTGTTGTTGATGTTGAAAAGTGCATACCGTCATTTTTTTAACTCGGAATTTTGAGAATGTTTTTCGGATTTTATTTTATTTTTATTGTTTATATTAACGCTTCACTTTGAAGCTACACTAGGGCCACGGTAGCCTAGTGGTCAAGGACACGGACTCGTGGCAGGCATGTCATGAGTTGGAGCCTAGTACCGCTGAAGACCCGCCGTTCAGAGGGGACCTATGCACGTTAAATATATCGAGGCTCAAACGACTTCCTGTTCATGTGGACTGGAAGTTATGGGGGTTCCAGCTCAGGAGTTGTCTTCGTCACCTTACCATGGTTCAAAATTACGAGGTCCGTCGCCAATAGCCCTCGAGAAGCTTTATAGTGTGACGTAAATACAACTCTAACTCTGAAGCTACACTGGAGCTATTGACTGGAGACTTCGTAAATGTGAATCATAGTCAATTGAAGAGGATAGCACCAGAAAATTATGAAAAAAAAAAACTTATAAAGTTAACTTCTAAACTATTTACAAAATTTTTGTTATTTATATTACTTGTGCAAATTTGGGAAATATTGGTATATTTTTTCGATGTGTATGGATGCACAAGAATTTAGTAACTGTCCACCAATTTTTTTTTATCTCCACAGAGAACAGAAAATGAGTGGATTTTTTCCTGTAAGGGAACTGCATTTCTTAAGTTCCCGTAACATGATCTTAATTGAAATAACGAGACTTTTTGTAAATACCCTTCATATAACGCTTAGCCTGTCATTAGTTCAAAGCATTTCGTGTTGAACGCCTTAGAAAAGAAACAAAGGCCATAAAAATGGAAAGTATGAAATTTGTTCGTTTCTTTACTCAAAAGGTTTTGCGGCCGGAAAGATCCCTTTCTGGCTAAAAAAATTTTTTCGATATTGTTAATGAGTTAGAAGGACCCTGGCGATATATACTGTAGCCACATATTCTAAATTTGATGACAAAAATAAATGTCCCTACAAAAATTAGAAGATTCTAAGGATGAGAGTTTAACGAGAAAACATTTAAAGCTCGCAAAAGGCTCTTCTCAGCTTTTTTGAGAAGGACGCAGGGAAACAGCATGGGGGAGTAAAACATTAGACAACGACTGTGCATTTCATTTACTTTATTCACCATTATGATCACGGATTTGAATTTCTGCTATCCATGTGATTTTTGAATCTGTGAAGCTGTAAATTTATAGTTGTGTATGTTATTTGTTTACTGTTAAATAAATTTGCTGTAGTTACTGAAGTGGGGAGGAAAGCTACAAGCGACTATTGGCGTGATTAAAGAGTGAAAAAATCTAAAAATAATAATCTCATATGCTGCAACAGTTTTTTTTTAAAAAAATTTACCATTGCTCAATGAGTTTAAGGGAGTATTTGAAAGATCTTTTTACCTGTGCCATTTGATGAAAGTCAATGTTTCGTCTATTTCTAGGCTAGACGGAGACTAGATTAAATATTTTTACTCTAAACAAGTAATATAAAAAATTTAAGTCAATTCCTACTTATAGGTTAAAAAAGAAACCTTTTATTTTAGTTATTTTTTATCAAATAGTTACAATTATGTATGTATATATGACAGAATCACAATATTAAGTGACAAAATAGAAAGCGATTTTCCTTGAAATTTTCTGTTTTCCTTTCTATATACGATGTTGAATAATTTTTTGTTCGTTTGTTGTTATTTATTTATTCATTAAACTTAATTATTCTAATAAAATAGTATAATAAAAACGAAGTCACGTTCTCAGAAATTAGGCCATTTCGGGTGGGATTTGAACCCACGACCTTGGATTAGAATTCCAACGCGCTATCCGTTGCGCTACAGGACACAACGAACAATTTTCCTTTCTATATATGCTGTTGGGCTATTATTTTTGTTCGTTACTATTTATTCTTTTTTCAATTTAACTAATGAATTAATATTTGAAAAAACTGTATTAACATCCAAGTGTCATCCACTACAAGCTTAGGCGACGGACCTTCTCCTCACTTCCCCACCATCCCAACGGAAGGACTTAGAGCAACGAAAAATTTAACGCGCATTAGTCCTCTACACAGCAGGTCTTCAGCGGCACTAGGACTCGAATGCGCGACCCGATAATACTGGCCACGAGTTCGCGACCATGACCACTCGGTTACCGTGACCATCATGCGAGTTCGGAATTCGTCCCTTAATCTTTACAAAATTGAATTGAATTCTAAATATTTTTAGCCTGAGAATGTTATGTGGCCGTGGTAGCTTAGTGGTTAAGGTATCGGATCGTGGCTGGCATGTCTTGAGTTCGAGCCATTACCACTAAAGACCCGCCGTATAGGGGAACGATGCACGTTAAATCTATCGAGAGCTCAAACGTCCTCCAGTTGGTGTGGTAGTTAGGAGAGGGGGTGCCTGCTCAGGCATCGTCCTTGACACTTCACCATGGTTCCAAATTACGAGCTCCGTCGCCAAAAGCCTTTGTGTATAGCTGAACAGTGCGATATTAATATCCACTCACTCACTCACCCTGAAAATGTCATAATCACGCTTCTTTAAATAATTATTCTCACTAAGTAGTCTTCATAAATCTAAAAACATTATAAAAAATTAAAAATGAAGCTAGGGGACATTATTTTATAACAAAATTTCACTTAAAAATTTGATTACAATAAAATTTTAAACAAAATTTCGTCATATTTATTTTTATCATTTTACGAAATTTGTGCTATTCAATTTTATCCCATTAACAAGTATGAACAAGTGTTTCTGTTATTGAATATCAAAAATGATAATAATAGTACCCGGTATCGATATATATATATATCTGAGTCATTTGTGAAATGGCATTTCTTCCAGGCTTGTGAAACAAAATAGAGACACAGCTGCAAGTAATCTTTTATTTCAGGCAACGTAGAGGTTAAATATTTTATAAGAGCTTTGAAACTTGATAATTTGATATAAGAAATATTTTTTTACGGACTTTATTTACCAAAGTTTATTATAACGTCATTTTATATTGCTTGTTGTACACGTGTTACTACAAGATAATAATTTTATGGTTATAAGAATGTAAGATAAAAACATAGAGAGAGAAGAGAAAGAGAAAGCGGAACAGTTTTTTAGTAAATGTCACTTTTATTCTAATTTATTCATTTATAATTTTGAAACCTTTTTGAATAAATAATTGCAAGAAATGAAGCAACCGGGCCAGTAAATCAAAAAATTTCGAAAAAGGGATTTAAGTGGCATACAAAAAAGAAATTGCACCCACTCCTGGACGTGCTGATATTGAAAAGTAATACGTTAGGTATAAAAGCCCGTGCAACGCCGAGCCATGCAGCTAGTTTGATTATAATTTGTTTTTTGTATCAGAATTATTCTTTCTAAATAGTGGTTTTAATT